CATAGTATCTTACTTTGATATATTTTAGCACTGTTATTTTAATTATTAGATTAAATAATATCAATTGTTTTGTTTTATGGATATATATAAATGTAAGATGGTTGTATTGTATACTTTGTATCTGGCCTTAGGGCTGTAATAAAAGTGTGTGTGTGTGGAAATACTACAAGATAAACAAATGATGGAAATTGCAAATAAATATCTCTTTTTGAAAAACTGTTTTTCAAAGAACCTAAGGGTATAATTTAAAAAACAAACAGATTTTACTTGAAATAGATTATGGCAAATCTGCTACAGAACTAAAAGAAACCTGGGACTTAGAGTAAGAAGAACAATTAGATGATAATATGTGGCAGTTTCTATTGCAGCATCAAGGATTTTTATCAGCATCTATAAAGGAATTATGTCTTAAACTTTTACATTAGTGGCATCAAAGTCCTATGTATCTTTTCAATATTTGGTGAGATGCTGGCAAGACTGTCAGTCAAAGGGAACATTCTTTCATCTTTGGTGGGCATGTAATATTATTGGAATTTTGGAAGAATGTGTTTAAAGAAATGTCTTATATAACTCAACAAAAGATTCAATTCTCCCCAAAGTTAGAATTGCTATGCATATTTGATGAGATTAAGAAATTACAGAGTAAAAAACTTATTACATTTTTGCTTATAGCAGCCAAATTGGTCATTGCTGAACAGTGGAAATACCTGGATAATATTTCAATGGATAGATGGAAAAATAATATCTGGTTTACTTGAAAAAGTATCTGATAAAATCCTTTCTGTGACAAGCCAAAGTAATGAATTGTTCTTTTATAAGGAATGGTGGAATGTTACTCTTTATATAAGAGATAATCATCTTGCAAACAGTCTACAGGTAGTCCCCGTATTAAGAATGCCCAATTTAAGGATGACCCATAGTTAAGAACAGAGCCTACTGTAGCAAAATTTGTGTTAAATACAGTGATTTGAGTTAAATAGACAATGGTTCAACTTAATTACACAAAACTACTCATACAGTATTATACAATGATACTGTTCTGGCTTACATATTAATTTGACTTGAGGACACCTTGGGAACAGAACTCATTCTTAAGCTGGGAACTACTTGTATTCCAAATATTATGGGCATATTAAAATGTACCAGCACTATGTAATTTTTAAAAAATTCAAATAAAGCAAATAAATAAATGGCGTTGCTACAGCAGACAAATGAGACAAATACTGCTGGCACACTGGATATTATTTTATTGAAGACAAACTTATTTTAAGATATTAAAAAACAGATATTTTCCTGTTTTATATTAAACCCATGTTTATACCATAACAACTTAATATGCAAATAATTATATATAAAATACAAAGACAGTCTGACCTACAGTAAAATCTTTCTCAAAAGTCCAAATATCAATGTGTTGCCTTGGCAGATTCATCCTGACGTCATACAATGGAGGTACTAACAACACGTCCTATTAAAATAGGCATATTACCTTATTACTCCTTAATTTCCTGTAGTTCAAGTTTATGAACATCCTTAAGAAAGGTCTTTGCTAATGGTTTTGTATAGCAATATTTTTTACTTCTATTTTTTAAAATATATTCTGTATTACTGAGGAAACTCTAGATCTTGTATAAAACTTTAGGCCACAATGCAAAATTTGTCTCTTATATAGATGTAAGTTGCTATTACATTCTCCATCTTAATAAAATAATTATACAGTATTACCAAGCACATGCTAAACCTTCTGTACTTAGTCTTATAAAATATCAATACTATAAAGGCTAGGTGAAAATAAAACTTTTCTTAAATATTGAATTAATATTTGTAAAATGTTACCAACTTGTAAAACCAAGGAAAACATGAGATTAGTGTGAAATAATGTAAATGTCCTTTTCTGATTTTGCTTTCAAAGCATGAATTTGCAGTTTTTAGCAATTGTACATTTTGATACTGTTCCATTACCATCTGAAGAGCAGTTGTGTCTCACTTAGTAGCAGCAGCAGATTTTTTAGTACTCATTCTTGTTATACAATGGAATTGCAAATACAGATATATCATCATAAGAAGCAGGATCTTTACTGTCCATGATCCAGTAGTATCCATCCTCCTTCCCTCTTGCTTTTTGCACAAGGAATTTGGCCAGTTCTGAAAACCTGTAAAAATAATACTGGATTTTATGCAATGCAGTGATAAACAATCCTAAAGAAACAGCTAAAAAAGAAATGGCATAATCTCCATAAATAGTATAAAGTTGGGATATACAAAATATTCTATGTATTATTTTGACTGAAATTCAGAAAACTAGTTTTATATCAAGCCAAGTAATTGCCTTTATATTTCTTAAGGATTCCTTCAAAATTGGTACTGTTAATGTTCAAAAATGTGGTAACAGCACCATCAGGTTGAATACAGTTTACACAATATACCTTATAGTCAACTATGTACTACAGAAAATGGAATTTATTATTTATACAGTTCTATTATATAAAGATCCATAAAGAGATCTATGAAAATCTTGGTATTCCCAGAATTTTTACAACCTCTAACTGTACCTGTGAGGGTCAGTTTTATTGTTTTGGAGAAAATTTCTGACAATCTGGGCTACATCTTCATTGGACATAACATCCCAAAGGCCATCTGTTGCCATGATGAGGATATCATCTTCATTAATGTTTTCTGACGTTAAGTCAAATACTTCCACCTAGTCAGAAATAATGAAATGATAAAAACTTTTTCAGTTGGGTTTCCTAAATATCTAGGTGTTGAAGTTTTACAAAGTTACGTGCTGAAAAGTTGTAGCCTATACACAACCCACCCAATATGTTTTTCTGTTTTATGCAGTCCTTAGAAGCCCTGAAGATTGCACTACCAAAATATAACAGTAAATCAAGTCGTGAAGGTGTAATTTGTAGTCCATTTTTGAAGGGAAAAAAAATCCAAATGTTGGATAGGTTTGCAATTATCCCACTACTTAGTCATTGTGGCCTTTGGTCACTGAAAAAAGTGTGAATTAAAAAGTGCATCTTTTGGGACCAAGAAACTGTCTGCCCCTGTAAAATCTTGGTTCTGTGTTCATGGCAGACTTATCCATAGTTATGTTAATTACGCTGCTTAATTAGTTCAATTCCCAGTTTCAAGTAGACCCCTCCTGTAGGATACATGGGCTGGGCATGCCCAACACCTATCTAAAACATGGTTATCTACTTGGTTCAGTGAGTCATGTACACTCAGCTTTAGGAGTATACCATAATTTCTATTAAGGTATTTACCTGAGGGATGCAGGAGAGGAAAGGCTTGATTTCAATATTTGTTTCAATTACTTTCAACTGATGATCTCCCAGGCCTCGAGATACAGCCAGGGTGCCTAGTAAGCGAGCCTGAAAGAGATGAGAAAAGGTCAAGGCTAAAGATGTGATAGCTTAAGGCACGGAAGACACTGTCACCAACAGTCAGAGTAAGCAGTAATATATAAGTACTTAAGAGAATATTTATACCCACGTATTTATTTTGCAGCTTCTAATATAAACATAATCGACAGCACAATTATTATGTAAAAGCTAACATTTTCCCAAAGCACATGAAACACACCTTAAGAAGTTAAGATTACTTTTACCTAGCAATCAAGAATCAAAATGGGGGTGGGGGTGGAACAGCAGGTGGCAGAGTTTAATCTCTTAGCAACTATTCTCTTAGCTAGCTGTTCTACTTTAGAAGCAGGGAGGACCCAGGATCAGCTGTCCAGTAAGGAGATCAATAAACTGGCCGGTTCCTAATAAGCATCCTTCAAATATCCTTATTCTAAACTAGTCTTCTCCCATCTGGTGTCCTCCAACTGGGTTGAAATTACAACTGCCAGCCAAACATAGCTGACAAGTCTTTAGGCTAGAAATTCTAAACTTAACACAACCAGGGAACATCTGGTTATTGAAGGTTATTCAGGGCTTTAACATACACACTACACCTTCATACCTGTTTCCCATGTCCATGAATAACATCATACCTGTTTCCCATGTCCATGAATAAGAGGGTATTTGAGATCATCTTTCATTACTGTCTTATATCCCCTGAAACAAACAAGACAAGTGAGTGTTCATTTTATTTGTCCTACTACACTGTGTCTACAAGTTAACATGGATGCTTAAACAACCTAGTCTTAATGGACATGATAGCACACTTAATTCTGTATTAAAATCTAAGGCTTGATCTCATAGAGGATTTATAGAATACCCTATACAGCAAAATCATATTCATTTCTCTAAATGATTGAGAAATACCATTTACAAATATCTATAAGACAGCATACATGAATCCTTGAAATGTAATTAGGATAGCAGTTCTAAAGCAATTTCAGTCAACAGGCCTATAGAAGCCCATATCACCAAACATCAAATTAGTTTTTTATTAGCAAGCCTATTTCATCATCCTCCGTCATTTTCTGTACACCATTATTAATGCTAAATATAAGAAATCTGGCCCAAAGGAGACCTGATTTTCATTTCCATTTTAAAGGAAAGAGAGTAACAATTGAGGGTCCTTGGAAGCCCATGAATGTTTACTCTGCATGGCATATTTATCAGTGGAGTAGAAAGAAACAAAAAGTTCCTTTTGTGTTTTCCAAACATCCCCTCCTTCTGCAACCAGGATGACTTTTCCATTCCAGTTTCAATGTTCTTGATATGCAAGAAAAACAATGGCTGTAGGTAACTGGCCACTGCAATGTTACTTGGGATTCTCTCAGCTTAACTAAGTGGCCTAATTTGGAAGAAGGGTTACAAACATGAGGAGAGGTAAGAGCAAAAGTAGGTAGGGGAGATGGATGTAAGCCATAACCTAGAGCAGATTGTTAGGAAGCAACATAAGGTGGGAGGGGAGCTTATATAAAAGAGAAAGACTCAAAAGATTACTCATACATGACACCTAAAACCAGGAGATTCAAGAAACCCACCAGCCTTCCATTGAGTAATCTCGGTAGAGGACCTTCTGGCCTAAATCATCTCCTTTCAGTCTCCTTGGAAACTCAAACCGTGTAAATTCATCTGCTAAGAGCTTTGGGTAAATGAAAGCCTAGGGGAGAATGAAAAGAATGAAAATGGGGAAGGATTCAAAATACTGGTTTCAGAAGACAGTGGTGAGCCTTATGAAGTAGAAGCTGAAGATAAGAACTACATTCTGACACTGATTTACAATGTGATTTTAGGGAAGTCACCCAACTCTTCCTCTGTGAGGAATTTTTTTTTTTTACCTATACTACTCACAGAAAACGATAAAAGGTTTAGATTTCATCACTGGGCAAGGACAAACGACTTGTTATTCCAAATGATAAGAACATCAGTTAATAACATACTCTTTGTCTAGTTATATTCAAATTCAGTTCCCAGAATTCCCCAGCCAGCATGGCGGGTGGACTGGAAATGTAGAGAGCTGAAATAATCTGGAAGGCATCAAACTGGTTAAGGCTGTACTAAGCATGCTTCAGTGTAACAGTGAAAATATTACAGAATACAGTAGATGCAACCTGCAGTGTTCAGAAAAACCATAACATTTCTTTACTGTGGACCATGCCAGACACAAGCATCTTGTGTTTACAAGACACAAACAAATGTTTTGGCTTTTTTTTTTTTAAAGGACTTCTCTTACCAGGTGCTGGATTCTCTTCCTCTCTGACTCAGGGGTAAACTCAGTACTCAAGGGAACAATGCTCCGTTTTCGAACAAGAAGTGCCCTGAAAAACAGTATTTTTTTTAAATGAGGGTTCCTCCCCCCTCCCCCTTTTAATGGTTTTCTCTCATTTCATTTTTAAGATGGAGGAATAATGACATGCCTGGGGAAGATTCTTTTTTGGTCAGTCCAAGAGGTCAGTTGGTTCAATTTAAGGAGATTTTCTTTTGGCCTTTGTAAGACATCTTACTCTATAGTTCACAATTACAAGCCCCATTTTCATCAGCGGTCAGAATAACATGCTATTTTTTTTAACGAGCACATGACAGAACAAGAAGTTTAAATGTGCTACAGGAAGGATGGTTTAGCTCTTCAATTCCCTTAGTTTTCCCCCCAAATATCTCTTCCAGCTATCATTTGTCCACCCAAAAGTGCAACAGCTAACAGCAGCAGCTGGGAATGGGATTTTTGGAAGGAAACTAACATGGGTAGGATTATAATGAAACCATGTTTCTTGTGCATCCAACCTGGAAAGAGACTGTCTGGTGGTTTTGAAAGATTGTGCCTGTTCCACACACCACATTCCTACCACAAATCAGAGCCATGTGAAGCTGCATTGTTTTTAAAAATGCCCACTTTAACCCCCCATTTTAAAAAAGCATGCTTATGTTCAAATTCTGTTAGAAGGAAAATACTCTGACAAAAGTAATATTTTTAATGGCTTTTGCTTTGCATGCGAGTGTGTTATTGTTACTCTTGGAAGATTCTTTTTCTACTTTAGACTGGAGTGAAGAGATGCTAAAAACATCTTCAATACCCATATTAAAGGAGCATGTTGGATCCTATCCAATGATGTTCTGGTTTTTGAACTCACCTGCTATCGCCTGCATTTGCCACATAGAGCCTTCCCTGCAGATAAAGAGCAACTAGTGCAGTGCAGCCTGCTGATTGGTTGCTAGCTTTCATCTCTTGGCCTATCATTTTATCCTGTTGAAAAATCAATATTTAGTGATATAAGACAGATATCACATTTCCCAGCAAAGACTGATGCCTAATTTCATCACCATTGTTCCCCACTGATGGTTGGTGCAAACAGGTAATTGCCAGTTAATGTTTCATGTATGCTAAACTGTCAACTATAAGTAGAGAAGGTTAATACACTATTGCTTTCTTTCCAGACTTCAGGGAAGCAATGGTGAACTGAAGACGGCTTCGCTTTTAGCAGAGCTGATGACCATGGCAAGAGCCAATGAACAGATCGGCCCCTTGAAATTCCTTCTCCAACAAAGGGGAGGACATGGGATCACCCAAAGAGCTCCATACAGATGCTCCCCGCGACGAGACTATAAAACAGCAGACCCTGGAGGGTTTTAGAGCTCTGGTAGCAGGGAGAGTCAGCTTTGCCCAAGCCGTGGTTCAGAGCCTTCAAAGGGACACTGGGTTTGCCCATTTCCTCTCTTAATCACTTTTGGAAATGGCTTGTAAATTGCTTTTTGGATACTAAGAACCTTCAGAAGGACAAGTGTCATTTCACTGAGTGATTCTCCTTCAATCTTCAACGAAAGAAGTTTCATGGAAGTTTAAGAAGTTAAAGAAAAAAAGGTTATTTGGAAATAAGCAGCAAAAGGGTGATTAGAATGTTGATTTTGGAAAGTTATAAATAGACTAAGGGACTAGATTGACTGGAAATAAGATTTTGAAACTAATTATAAGAATCCTTCCTGTAGTTTGTTTAGAAATCTATAAAAATATATGAAGATCTTGAAGTTAAGAGTAAGAAACCTTTCCATGGGAAAATGTTGTGGATTAGAGAAAACATGACAAGAGAAGACTTTGAAGGTTGGTTACTAGATGCAACCAGAAAGAACTAAAGATTATAATTAAAGGAGAAGACCCACTAATACAGAATGGAAAAAAGTATTTTAACTGTAAGAATTCAAGGATATTTGGCAACAATGTACTCAGAATTTTCTCTTAAGATTGTCTGATACTATAAAAATGGGTTCTAAAGAGGAGATAGAACAGGATACAACTGAGAATCAGGCTGTTTTGGATATGGATTTAAAATGACAGGATATAAGTCAATGATATTTTTGTCAATATATTGATAATGTTATTGACAAAAATGCTGTATAGAACTTACAAATGAAACCGGCTGATGTTTTAATAGCTAAAAGGGACACACAAATAATAAATCAGAAGAGTGACTTGGATGTGTAGAGTTCAACTCAGAAGAGTAACTTGAACAGCTTTCTTATCTTGGACTTAAAAAAGAGATTTTTTTTTAGTATGAAGGTTATGAAGATGTTTCTGAGAAAAGATAAAGAGAGAATGAAAAGAAATCAGCTTTTGGGACACTACTTAAAAGGAATAAACATTAAGGCTTTTAAAACCAAAAAAGAAAGATTATAAAGTCGGTTTGTTCGAAAAGATAAAGAGAGAATGAAAAGAAATCAGCTTTTGGGACACTACTTAAAAGGAATAAACATTAAGGCTTTTAAAACCAAAAAAGAAAGATTATAAAGTCGGTTTGTTCAATCAAGGTTAAAATATATATGATGTTTTTTCTTCTGGTAGCTTTAATGGGTTTTTCTTGACAAGAACTGAATGACAAAGCTTAAAGATTCATTTTCAGATAAGACATGGGAAAAAGATATTTTTTGTTGTATGTTTACAGAAAGTGATGGGCTATGGTGTTAAAATTGAAGGAAAGTGTTAAACTTGCGAAGGAATTTCTGAAAGGAGATGAAAAGAAAATGATAAATTAATTTGTGGGATACTATTTGAAGGGATTATTTTCAATATGTTGTTGTTTCTGGTAGCTCTTAATGGAATTTTTCTTGACTAAGTTTGAACGACAAGGCTTTAACGGTTTGTTTATAGATATAAGAAAAAATATGGGAAGAAGAGACTTTTTTGTTGTATTTTTGGAGAAAATAATATGTTACTGTGTAAAGGAAAGGAATATGAAATCAATTTACTTGTTTAAGGGATGGATGGATGGATGGATGAATGGATGGATGGATGGATGGATGGATGGGATAGATAGATATTTCTGGTAACTCTTAATGGACTTTTGCTGATTAAGATTTAATGATGAGGTGTTATTATAATAGATAAAAGATGAGATATGGGATGAAGAGATTTTTGGTTGAAATGTTAGAGAAGGTGATAAGTTACTGATATTGTACTTGTCTTGATGAAGGGGGAAGTCATTTCTTTATATAACTTTTTTTCTTTATACATATTTTTCCCTTTCCTCTCCCCTTTTTTCTTTTTCTCTGCACTTTTTCTTTTTTTATATTTTTCTTAGTTTGTATTAGTTTTTTATCTTTGTATTTTTAAACTTCAATAAAAATTATTATTAAAAAAGAGAAGGTTAATGCACTATTGTGCACCTGATACATATTCTTAATTGGTATAAGAATTGGTAGCATGGTACAGAATAAATAAGAACCCAGCAAAGATGTAGGCCAAGGATAGACAACCAGACCTTATTCACAATCCCTTACCATTGACCATACTGACTGGGTGGTTGGGAACTGAAATCCAAGCCACCAGGGCAATATAATTTGTTTAATCCTGATCTAGGCAGCTATCCTGCCAGATTCAGAAACAATAAAATTTACTCCATCAGCCATCTACAACATATGACTGATACAAACTGCAATGGCACAAACATGATACAAATCCCAGTCTTTCATAGCTATGTCCTGAAGTTGGTTGCAGGTATGTGTGTGTGACAACATAATTTGCATTCCACGATTTGCTCCTCTCCCCCTGTGTACAACACAACTCAATTCTTGGGATAATAATACAGAAGAAAAGTAGGATAACTCACACATTCCTGGAAGGCACTCTCCAAAGCTCCAATTATCACATTTTCCTGCTGAATTTTCTTTTCTTCCACAAACAGTGGATCACTCTGGCAAATGCATTGACCACTGAGGTGCATGGGGGGATTGTCTTCAGTGATGCCTTCTACCACATCCTCTAGTTTCTGTTTGATGCAACAGTGCAGGTAATTGGATGCCATAATTGAAGCTTCTGAACCGCCATGGCCATCAAACAATGCCCAGTAATAGCCTGTCAGATACTGAAAGCCAAACCATTGTGAAGGTTATCGTATGGGACATTCTTTCAAATGGGCTCGATCCCATCCAATATAATTGTCTGTTTGTTGAATTGCCGGGTTAGTTTTATCATATTTTATGTTTCATAATATCTTATTTTTATTTTTCTTGTTTTCTTTGTAAGCTGCCCTGAGTCATTTTAAGTGGGTGGCTATGCAAGTGTGTGCACAGTCTATATATGCAAAATATGCATTTAATTAATTAGATGGAAAATGTATGGGGTAAAGAAGATAAATTATTATTAAAAAGGCAAAAACTGAAAAAGTATAAGAGAACGATACTAATCAATCCCATCTGCTAATATCAGAAACAACTGCAGCATCAGAAAAATGAGTCTCATAATTAAAATGTTTTACAAAAAACTTTACTTCTTCCAATTTCTCAAGGATTTCATTATAGTTTTATCAGAGAAACTCAAACAGGAACATTCTGTATATTGCTATCTCAGCTCAAAAAGCCAATGCCTGTTCACGTCTTGCAAACACTAAACTTAATGACAAGTCAGGTGGGCTCATGCCTGCCTATTCCACTCCTGCTTCACACAACTGACAAACCGTCCACATGAGTAGTCTTTGCATACATAATGCATGGTTTGGATGTTGCAAATCAAACATATGAATCAAAACAGCTTCTGTGCAAGAGATCTCCACCCCCAGTTTTTTTCTTCCCAAAATACATGAATAAAATTAAAGATGAAATGGTTGATAACCACAACTTGAAGGGAAAGCAGTTATTTCTTTGTGTTATGCAGGCATATGGAAGAGCTCACACATGCTTGTTAGGCATTTCTAGCATTATTCACACCCCAAGGAATGGCAATCTCTTGTTTACTGTAAGCTGTCAAAATAAAAGCAAGCCACAGAATCTAAAGCAGGGACTTGGTTGGCTTCACAGGGACCTCAGCTACCCACCTTCTAACATATAAACCTCCTTTTGCTTCAAATTTTATTCTGGACTTAACTGTTTTTATTTTCATTTAATTAAAAGAGATTCACTGAAACAGCTTATTAATTCAAAGCTCATGCCTTTCACGGGATGTTCATAATGGTTTACTAATAAACTTAAGAACCAAACAAATCATTCATAATTGTCAACATGAAGCTACTCCACAAGCACACTAATTGTTTACAGAGCTATGCAGTCTATATTAACTAGGAAGGGTTTTTTCTCCCCATGATTACCAAGCTGAAATGAACAACCCATTGAAAAGAAATCTGGCAGTGAAAAACAGGAGTTCCAGCCCTACAAGATAAATACTGAAAGCTTTTTAAAGAAAATCTTGGAACTGGGTATTCCATACAGCGGCAGCTGGTAATTGCAGTTCTATTTGGTTCTTCTCTCTCTGACCTTGAACAAGGTTCAAGTTCCTGCAGTTCCATGGCAGGAATAGAATAAGACATTACACAGGGAGGCAACGTTATCATCCAGTTCCTTCCTCTTTGCCCTTAAACAGTGGAATAGCTTAATGAAAACAGCATTTTTAGTTTTGAGCTCTGAACTTACCTCAGTAGAGCACAAAATCAGCCATTCCTGATCCTCCTCTTTTTGTCTCTTCCTGATAGAAATCTGGCAACATGTTGCTTGGTCTTCATTAAATTCTGATTTTTCTGCATTAACAGTTCTGACAAAAGAAATAAACATAGTTAAAAACAATTAGGATAACTGAAGCATGCCTCAGGTAACTAAGCCCAATGAATTTATATAAAGGAACTAAGTGGAGGCTGACCTATCATTAGTATATCTTTTACACTGTAGTCCTATACATATTTACTTGGGAGTCAAGCTCAATGAACCCGGTGGGATTTGCTTTAAGCAGACATGCTGATGATTATTATTTCAAATGACAAATATGTAGCACACTACAACAAAGAATAGGTCTGCCATTAAAAAAAAAATCACTGGAATTGGGGTCCTGAATATTTCTGCTTAACATTCACACTGCCTCCCTGGGCTTCAGACAAGAGATGATTCTTATCCCATTGTTTTCTCCTTCTTCCTCCTTTATTCGTTATCAGATTCTCTGAGCCCCATAAGAATAGTATGGAAATCCTCTTCAGTGATTTATCCCACTGGGATTTTAAGCGTCTTTGCAATTCTGCAAGTATCCCATCCATTTCTTAACTCCTCATTTCTCTTCTGGGCTTGGCCATTTCTGCCTAAAATAGTGCTCCTCTCCTTGAGCAACTGTAGAGTCACTAGCCTAGGGCCTTCCTCAAGTTTTATCCATCTGCCATCCACTTTCAGCTGGGCAACAATGGCAGACTCCTAACAATGGGTCCTATGCTCACTGTGTTTAACAAGAAACAGCAGGAGAGATGGTAAACTAAAAGAGGGGCCATGAGGGTTATCAAATTTGTTATCTTTGGAATTTGCCTCTTTCTGGTCCTCCCTCCTTATATAACTGGCTGATTCACTTCCTTAACGCAATATTATTCATGCAAGTCAGCTGCCTAGTTAAAAGCTTGAAGGGCTTCTGTCTCTATAGAGGATATCAAGCAACCTTCTGGTCTCATAGCCTCTCTAGTTGCTGTAGGCTTAACTGCTCTGCCATTACAAGATTTTGCAAGGCTAAAATAAGGCAGCTGGTTAAGCCTAATAAAGTCTGAATCTTAGTTCTACAAGACACCCTGAGTTCAACTAAATAACTATGTACATCATCAAGTTTCAGAAAATGCCAACACATTAAGCAGTCTTAGATCTTAACAGGGAAATACAATCACAATTTATCAGTCCCCAAGTCTGATGTAGGGAGAGCACATTCTAATCTCCACAACTAGACATGAACATAAGTCCAATTTGCAGACTCTCATAAAAGCTCTTCTGACTATGTGGACACAACCATGCAGTTTTATTGTCAACAGTATGGAAACAGTCTGCCTCCACCTGCTTGCAAGAATACCAGAGTATACTCCTGGTATTCCCTGGTACTACTCTCTCAACCAGGTATTAACCAGGCCTAATCCTGTTTAGCTTCTGAAACCAGACAAGGTAGCAACCAAACAAGGTAACTGAGACTTCTCAGGCATAATCAAAGCATGAACAAATTGGCTTCCAACATACGAGTAGAGAAGGAATGCTTCAACTGGCAGCATCTTGTTGTGCATATGCAATACCTTTCAGATGTGTTCAGACTACAAGGCCAGAATATCCAGGCAGCTCTAGCCGTACTGACAATTCTGGGATTTGTAACCTAAAATCATGGGGCAGAGGGATGGGGGAGCCAGGTTGAACAAAGCTGTTCTACCTCTTGTGTGTGTGCCTTCGAGTCAGTGCTGACTCTTGGCAACTGCCTGCACAAGTCTCTGCAGTTCTCTCGGCAAAATTTCAGAAGTGGTTTGCCATTGCCTGCTTCCTAGGGTTGAGTGAGTGTGACTGGCCCAGAGTTCCCTGGCTGGCTTTGTGCCTAAGGCAAGATTAGAACTCACGATCCCTCGGCTTCTAGCCTGGTGCCTGAACCACTACACCAAACTGGTTCTACCTCTTAGGACTTCCTTATTTATCTGAGGATTCCGTTTTGGGGATGTGCTTCTCTCACCTTTGTGTCTCTTTAAATGGTCTCATGTAAGAGGCTTTTCTTCCAATATGAATTAGCCATAAACTTCCTATAAATCAGTTTCACTGTTGTGGTAAAGTTTATAAACACAGGAAATAGCTCACATGCAAAATATTCTTTCCTTTTTAATCAGCATGTACACACAGTGTACTCTATTTCAAAAGACGCAGATCTGTCTATATTATTGACTCAGTGTTTACGCATGACAAAACTGGTGATGTGAATCCTTGGATATGAAAAGTTAGCAATTCTAGCAAGAGAGGAAGATAGCCATGCAGGCAGGAAATAAAAAGCACAGACATGAAGGATGAAAACACTACAAGAACAATACAACATCTTGAGGAATCTCTCCCTGCCAGTAGCACAAATTATGCGTTGAATTAGATAATTGATCCTTAGATACTACAGTATTTCCTTTCTTTCAAAGTTATCAAGAAAGGTGAATCTTGAATCAGCTTTGTCCCAGTAAGAATATTTCATCTTCATCATTTTAGTTAGTAAAGTGCCATTTGATATGGATCAACACAGTAACTATATGAACAAATGGTCTTCTTCTTCACCTGACAATCTGCAGCTCTTCCTGGGATATCCCTGATTCATCCATTCATCTTATCAATTATTTCCCCCTTCCACCTGTTTCAACCATTTGCTCGCTACTTGTCTATCTTTGTTTCTTCCAGGGCTGATTGATTGGTTCTTCTTGCAATCCATGGTAATTCTAGTAACCATCTCTAGAGCCATAATTTGAAGGCATCTGTCCTTTTTTCTCCTCCTTTCCTAATGTCCACCTTTCACAGCCATATGGATTTATGAAAAAGCATTCACCCCACTTTCTGACTGTTTGTATTTCTTTGCCACTGAATATTATCAGAGCTGTATGTGGCACATCACACGTTAGATGGCTCAGTAGGATAAAATAAGCATCCTACTATGGATTATATGTTCACTCAGAGTTCCTTTATGTATCAGTGACTTTTTTCATGAAGGTCTTCAGAAATGTCTTTTGATGTACCTCTAGAATCTGTGAGGTGGGAACTTCACTGTGATTTTGGGGAGCCAAAGTTTTTGAAATTGGGCAAGACTGGCAAAATCAGATGTGACTGTTTAATGATCTACTCATACAGGTAAGTTATCCTTTTAATATAATTGCATTATATGGTGATTTCTTTTTCACACTGGCATATCACATATTGGATTATGTTGTTTATAAGAGAAATGAAAAAAAGCACCCAACTTTATTTTTGTTAAATATATATATTTAATATTTATCCTTCATCATCACATCTAAGTTTAAAATTAACTTTCTTCCTGTGATTATTCTCCATCTTACTTTTCAAGCACATCTTAGTTCTGTTTTCTTGGGCTCAAAAATTGTCACTTTTAGTTCTTAAATTTTGAATTTTATCAAATTTTATTCTGTAGTAGTACTTTCTCATTTCACCTACATTTTCTTCTATTTATTTACCATACTTATACCCTGGCTCAAGCCTGAAGGATTCTGACAACGTACGACAAATACAAATCAAGAAAGAAAAGGAAAAACCATTACAATTAAAAAAAAAAAACCATCAGAACCAAATGTCTGCTCCATTTAGGGCAGATCCAATTAGCATTTCTTATGCAACTGCTTGTGCAGATGCTTTGTTTGTACAATTTGCACACCCTGAAGATTTGGGTGAAATTCTTGGAGAGTTGAGGCCAGCCATGTATTTACTCAAACTCTGTCTTTACTAACTTAAAGGGCAATTAAATTTGGACTGACCAAGTAAGTGGCAGCATCTTCTAACAGGATAGTTCCAGAAAATTTTAAGAGACAAGAGTTAGGCCATTTTTTGGAGGAACCCTACCTTAGTCCTACTGCGCTAGATAATTTCTGACTGATCTTAAATATTCCATTCTTGCACCCTTGTATTTAAGTATGTGATGGCTCTGTATGTTTCTGTATGACACACATTAGATATTCTGTTTAAATCCAAACTTCAGATCTAATTTTGATATGCATTTACTTTGACACTCAAGTTGCTCAGTGATCCAGAGTGGGAAGTGAATTCTGTGAATTCTGTCACTGTTGGTCTTACAAAAGCTTTGAATATTGTCAAGTATGATATCATTCCTGATTACCCCTTCCCCCCAGAATGGGATTTGGAAAGTCACTATACAGTGGTTTTTACCCTTTTTTTGGAAAATCCATTCCAGAAAGTCATGCTGTAAGATTCTTGTACAGGTTGGAATGTGTTCAGTCTTGATAATATCTCAAGTAAAATCATATGGGAGATGTCGTGCGGGGATTTGGAGATATACTGTGATGGACTGGAATGGTGGGAGGGGAGTAAAGAATGTGCTCTCATCTCAGAGGAGCAAGGAAGAGATAAGTGGAGGAGACTGGCACCTCCCTAAGAAATTCCATTGGTGTGAGCCTGGGAACTGGTTTCATTCTGGGAAGATTGATGTTGGGCCGAGCCCAAGGAACTCCAGGAGACCATGCAGAATCAAT